TGAGGTTAGAAATTCCCTCATCTGCCAGGGGATGAAACTAGGTGCCTTCACTCCCAATGAAAACAGGATCTAGCTGCTCTTCCTGCTTACCCGGTGCTCCACGGGATAACTCTGTCCCTATTCCAGAACATGTTATTTCAAGGCAAGTTATGCAACTGCTCACTATAGAAGAGTATTTACTGATTTGAAGTAGTTCCTTCTGATCCTTTTCCATCGTGAGCCAAAAAAAAGTTCACATCAGAAAAAATAAAAGGGTATGCGATGCACTCGCATGCATTCTAAAGCTCTTCTTAACATGTTTCAGGAGTGAAACGTGTGCTTTTGGAAGATGAGATTTCCAGAAAAAAAATACTGCTTTTAACTTAATTTTCATACTCTAATACATTCATATGTCACTGGGCAATTGGGTAAGTACAGAGCCCTTCAGCATCCTCAACACGCCACAGCCAGAGAGATGCCACAATGTGCCACGGCCAGAGAGGATGATCTGAGCTAGGCAGAAACCTACAGCCCAGTGCTGGGAAACTGCTCTGGAATTCATTTGAAACTCTGGCTTATTTACACAAAGCTTCTCTTCCTTCTCAATCCGTACAATATTTTCCCGGATGCCAGGGTCAACTGTTTTTTTTTTTTGTTTTTTTTTTTTTAATTTCTGATGTCTTTTCAGCAACTAAGTGTTCTTCTCAAGTTGTCTTTTCCCATTTCATAAAGAGGTTAAAAAGCTGACAGATTACCTTGGACATAGGAGTCATACTGTGCTTAATGAGAATCTCTACCAGGTACCATATTCTCTTTCACCTTTTTTGTGCCCAAGTGCTGTATTCCTAATGACCTGTCTGCATTCTAGATAAGAAATCATCAGTCTTTTTACTTTACAATGGGATTTTTGAATGAGTTTATATTTAATTTATTTACCAAGAGCCCTCAAAATCAGCACATACACCCGCAAATATCTTTAATCCTGACAGTAAAGACAGACACACGTATACATCCTAAAATCTGCATGGTATGTTCAGGATGCCTCTATTTGGAATTTGCTGTTTAATCTAGGATACATTTGATGGCTACATTCAAATAGAATGGCTCAGAAAGGACGAAAGAATTTGTAGGACAACTGCATAATCCTGGAAAGGAAGTACGCATCACAAATTCCTTTTCAAATTTGATACTCAACTAACATTAACTTAGAAGCCCAAATACAAGGTATTAAGCAAAAACAAATAAAATGAAGAATAATCTTGCAGGGACAGTGATGAACTAAGAATAAGGACATTTGGGTTCAGTTCTGAATTCTTCCCCCAGTATAGCTTAGGGCAGTTCTTTTTATCCCTCAATTCCTTTTCTATTTAATAGGGATATTAATACTCAATTAATTCTACTTTCTACATTCATGTCTTTTGAAAAGCAGGTTTTGGGTTTTTTTCCAGTAGAAGCTGCGTCTCCTGGTAGTCGTACCACTCACAGCAAAGTGCAAGCCTGCTTTCAACTGGAGACACAAGGATAATTAAAAGATGGAATCATATTCAGAACTTGCATCTATCATGGACCTGGTAGGAACTGCTGCTCCCTGTCAAAGATACCAGGCTATACAATACAAAAGGCTGAAGACAGCCCTTTAAAGAGCTTCTAATGAGTTGACCTGTTTAAAAAAAAAAAAAAAAAAAAACCATAAATATTGGGGTAGCTATAACAGATCTAGTCAGACAATATGCAGTAAAATATTTCCTTCTCAAAATACAAAGAAAGATTTTTAACACAATTGCAACTCCACTAGGAAAAAAATATATACGCAATTTCCTGAAGGAAAAATGAAGCAGTCTGATTACAAATGTTAAAATGAAACATTGTGTCATTTCAAAATCCATACATATGTATTACTGCAGCTTTTCATTTAAAAAAAATTCAATTCACTTTTCAATTTTCTTTTTTTTTTTGTACTAGCATAAACACAGATGCTGAACTACTGACATTTCTTGTCAGATGAATATATTTTCCATTGCTATTTCTGCTTAAACAACAAAAGCTTAAGATTCAGGATATTTTTTTTTTTTGAGGACCTAGCAAAAAAAAAATATATATATATAGGGTTTTAAATCATGACTGCTCTGAGCATTCCAGGTAGAGAAATTTCTTAATATTGTGTTATTAAAGAGATTTTTGTTTGTTTAGTTGGTTTTGGGGTTTTTTTTGGATAGAATAGTTGCAGCAAGTATGAAAAGTATTTTTAGTACTCAGTTATAATTGCTCCAATAATGCAAATGGTAAAAAGCTGTAATTCCATCATTTATCCGATGAAACAGTTCGATTAATTTGAGTTAAATACATACGTTTGCAGCATCAGGCTGGATAATATCTTAAAAGGAAAGAAAATTACTAATTTCATTTGCTTTAGAATTCACAGACAGAAGGAAAGCCAAATACAGCTGTTGTGCGACTATTTAAAAGCAAATGATTAGAAATGCTACTAAAGAGAGAGTTCTAAGAGTCTCAGCAAATTCTTTGCAGAAATGTCTGCTAAAAACAAACATCTGCTAAAATATCTTATATGAGGCACAAATGCTTCTTTCACAAATTTCACACTCCTTTGAAAACAGTAATTCTTGCTATGAATGTACTGCTCCTTTAGGGATAAATGCAATTAATCTATTGCTGTATTGTTGTATAGATATATTTTAAAGGTTGCTACATCTGCTTTTGCTATTATTTGTAAATTCAGTGATGATATAAAGGAATTAATTTTTCTGATGAGCAACAGAAATAATTGACAATGATACCCAGTAATAATGTTAATACTGTTACAACAACAAATAAGACAATGAACGATTCCAGAAAAAGATACATTTCTCAGATCTGGAGACCATTAATAAAAGTAAACTTTGCAAACTCTGGCATTTTGTCACTGCATCATGTATCTGTATGTTGCGTGATCTTTAAGAATGTTGTCAACCTATTTTTTTCATGTCCTAATTACAAAGCAAAAGGATGCACATGGGTAAAAGGAAAAATCATTTTGTTGAGAAGGAAAAATACAAATTATGCCCAAACCCTATTAATTCTGTTGTCATGGCAATGAAAGAGCACAGTCTTACAAAATTAATCCTAGTTTATTTACATGAGTAGTTCCTACTCATATGAGTTGTCCCACTGATTGAAAGAGAACTGCTGATATGAAGAATGATTTGCAATAGGAATCTTGAATTTAGGATGCAGTTCTTACTTAAGGAAGAGCTCGCAGGACTACTGCCGTAAATAGGAGCTTATTTCAACAGTGAAGCTTGCAAGATTATTTTTATGAGTTGTAATTTTGCTTCCTGTTTGGTTTGCACATTTTAGTTGATAAAATTTTAAAAAAATGCCTATTTTATATCTTTACTTTTGAAGATTGGTTTGTTTCAACCAGAAACTCTGTCACAACAGGAATATGTTTAGATCAGCTCAGTTTCCTCCAGCTGCAGTAATTTGAAAAGCTGTATTTCCATTTTCTCTCTGAAAACCACCTTAAAATGTTGCTCATTGTTAAAAAAAAGATATGTCAAGAACTGCCTCTGCATTTGCATTAATTTGAATAGGATTTAAGCCTTTTTTTCTTATTCATGAGCAGCGGTTTGTCCTAGCCTTGCCTGGCTTGATGTTCTGCTTTGGCTCTGTAGATCCTTCTCACACTTCAAACCTGCCTCCAGGAATCCATCACTCCCGTTCCCTGCTGGACATGTCATTGGTCCACAGACCTGCTCCTGATGTAGTTCTGACCCATCCAATCCTGTAGGACCTGCCAAGGATTAACCCCTTGGAGTGGGCAGCTCTTACTACAGGTTGCTCAAGAGGTACTTACCTTCTCTCTTCAAAACTCGGAGATCATCAATAGTGGAGAAGAAAATATGCATAATCCACATCATCACTCTTCCACCCTTTGGTTCTATGGTAACTTTTAAAACAACTATCCGTGTAAATTGTGCTTTCTGGAAATCTAACCTATTCTTACAGTTCAGTAGAGTCATTTTCTAAGTCCTGATCTGCTTGGAAATTTCCTGATACAGAATCTAAATTTAGGCAAGTTGGATAGTTAGCTAATTACATCACCTTGCCTACCCTAAATGCTTCATCCAAGAAGCTGAAAGCACGTTGCAGCTACTAATAAAAAACTTTTCAACACCTACCAAAGAAATCATTTGCAATCATTTTCAACAACCTCATTTACACATGACAGAAATCACTTGATATGGGAACCCCTTATAGAAGGTTTCTAAATCAAATTATTATCAAATCATTATCAAATGCAACTTTATCATTATTCACGTTGGTCATTTTTAACTTTTTGAAACTTGTGAAGGGAGTTGTCTCTCTCCCTATGCTAATCACAGTATCTAACTATGTATTTATTATTTTGTTTCCCATAGAAAATGAAGTAAATCTTTGATACCTGCAGATCTTGCATTAATAAAGTACTAGACATTCAAAAACCTCTATAGCTTTTATTTATTTAGATAATACTTATTCATAACCATTCTTGGGTTCAGATAGAATTTCTTTCACCTTCTATTCTTGCCTTCTAGCACACAGCTGAGGTGCAGCAAAGGTATAGCACACATGACCCGAGGGAGAGAGACAGAAAGAAAGACAGAATGAGAAGGCAGGAGGAGGGAATGGAGGAAGAGAGAAACAGAGAGAAATGTCAAAATAAATTCTTAAACATCCACTTCAGCTTGGAAATATATGTGATACAGCTTCTGATTTTCCTCTCCAAGTACAACTGACAGCACAGGTGCACACACACACACACACACATACATACACATTCTATCCACAAGCAAATGAAAAAGAAATGATCTTACAAAGCTACTGCAGCAATACTTGCTGCTGGAAACAACCATAATAACAAATGCTCTTTTGTTGTCTCTTTGCTTTTTTTTTTTTTTTCAATTTCCATTTTATCACTACTATTATTTAATCCTAATCATACCAGAAATATTATTATTATTAAGGAAGGAAAAAGGCCTTACCATGCAGTGCATCAGGAAGAGATGAGAAGCACAGAGCATGCTGCAGAGATTAAGCTCAGCATGGCATTCAGATATCCTTTCGAACTGAAGAAAATTGTCCAACCCATTCTTCCTAACAAAGAGGACAAGTTTTCTCTAGGCTTGAATTTTTCACCAGAAGTCAGATCCTTAAAGCGCATTATATTTTCTTCTTCAGGAGATATATTTCCTCCAGTTAAGTTTCAGCTCTGCAATGCCATTTCCAATCAGCTCTAAGAAGTTCTTCACTCCCAGATTCGTAGTGTCATCAGAGGGACTCCAAAGAAAATCAAAGAAAGAAAGAAGGAAAAAAGAAAAAAATATATCTTACTGAAGCCCTGAAAATACTATGCAGAAAAGAAGAAAAAAACAACCTGCATTTATTCTACTGCCTGTGTGTTTCACAATGATCAGTACTACTTCTTCATCTCCTGTGTTGAGAGGGCTGATTATTTTTAATAAAGAAAGAGAAAAAACTTTCTCAATTCACACATGATGGATTTTCATTACTACTGCTCGAGTGTGTGCTACCAAGCAACCCTTCTCACCTTAAGGAATCTCTAAAGCCATATGACCATAACACCAACCATCCCTTTCTCTTCCCATCACGAATATTAAAATTTCTAGATAAGAACTCAAAAACACTCGACACATAACACAGGTAAACAAATTAAACGGAAAAGCAAAGCCCTCAAAGCAGCAGAGTGCAGGAGATACCTTGCCTGAAGCATTTGGGGGCACGCACACTAAGCCATGGTAGGGAGGGAGAAGGGGATGCAGAGCGGTGCAGGCGGCTTGGCAGAGGATGGGGTGGGGACTAAGTGGGTGTCGGGCTGGAGTGGGATCCTGAGTCACCCTCAGCATCCTGCCTCCTCGCTGACGGCAGCCTGGGCTTCCCCTCCACTTTCCGCAAAGCATATTAATTGAGCCTGGTTGCTGAGCAACTAACTCCGGGGAGCCACATGGACCCGCTCCGCTCGGCTCCAGCAAGAGCAGCCCCCACGCAGGGCGACGCACGGGCGATGCGCGGGGCAGGGCTCCCGGGCTCTCCCCTCCTCTCCTGCATGCTCCTCTTCCCCCACAAGCTGCCCCATGGGGAAGATTGGCAGGGGACACCAAAATGTCCCCATTGGTGCTGTGGGGTGAGGATGAGGCTGACCTCTGCACACAGGGGCTCAGGCGAGGTGCCCTCGTGGTGGTAGCGGTGCTGCTGCCTCTGCATCCCTGCTCCCCACCATTGACTGGGCACCCAGGCAGGAGGAGAGCAGCCACCTGGGCCAAAACAGCTGCTAAGCACAGATGCCTTCTGGAAAACGAAGCTGGATTAACCCCCTGGTTGTCCACCCAGGTTGCAAGGGTGATGTCAAAACCATAAGCAACTCACGTAGCTATGTCAACGTATGGGTTCAAAAACAAGCATATAGTTAAAGCTGCGACTGCTTAAACTCTGTCCCAGGAATCAGGGGGCCAACGTACCCCTTATTTCTGACCTTTTTTATCAGACTGTGCCTCAGAAAGACAGAGCAGACACCCTCTCATACCGAAAGAGCCCAAAGGAAACCAGAGCTCCTCTCCAGAAGAGCTCTCCAGATGTGCTCCTTGGAGGCTGCAAAGCAGAGCTCTAAGTGTCCCCTGTCACCATTTGGACAGATGTTCTGCTTAATTTGCTTAAAAGAGGTAAGCAGCAACACCACTATGCATTTTTAGCCTATAAAGGAGATGAAAACAGTGTTCAGTTATCTAGTCCAAAGAGAATCCTAGAACAGCACAACCAACAGCACTGGAGGAATGATGGACAGGATGTGCATGGTCAAATCCAAAGCAGGGCCTGACCATGGCAGATCTTGGCAGGACTTCCAATGACTCCTGTGGCCACTGAGGCTGAAAAAATAAAAACAAAAACAAAGTCTGGAATGGTGTCCAAAACAAGAATATTTTCTTGTGCTGTCACGCTAGGTAATTCTTTAGCCAGACCACAGCACTCATTCAGCACTGGCTATACTGTCTTTCTGTTGCCCAGCTAAGACCTGAGAAAACAAAAGGTCTTCAAGACTTCTCCCTGTGCTGCCTGGCACCAAGTGCAGCATCAGATCTTGACCAAGCCACTCACTTGTATTAGCCATCAAAATCCTGAGCTAAATCAGCAGCTTATTTCTGTCACAGTGTCAGGACAAGTTAAAGGGCAAAGCCCTGAGAACTGCCTTAGTTGCAGTCACAAAAATAGACAGATAACTCTCTTTGGAAAAACTACAGCCTTGTGTGTGCTATGCAAATGGCAAACACCAGGTCTTGGTGAAAAGGGGCCAGACAAATTCTGTTAAATAAAGGAGTAACTTTTCAGACAACAGCTTGGCTTCAATTCACCCTGCTTTCATGCTTTACAAGGAAAGCTCTATGGTTTAGCCTCATTTTCTTAACAAAACAAAGATTCAAAGCTCATGAAGGAGAGCTGCTGTATAAAATAGGTCACAATATATTCACTTCATCCAATATTTCTACTGATATGAACATATCAGTATTCGTCAACCATGAATTTGAAGAAAACGTTAACCCCAAAGCATCCTTTAGTAGTTCTAATTTTGTCTCTGAACTGAGTAAAAAGTACCTATGACAACCTATAATCTTTCCCCCAGTGCAGCATATAAAGAAATAAAACAATTTCAGTGCTGATTTAGTAAATTAAGTTGATTTAGTATCCTGTATGCAATAGGATACAGAAAGATGTTACTAAGGAAGAGATCCTGCAGCAAGCACTTTACTTGCCTCTAGGTAAATGTTTCTCCCCAGCTCTCATACTATTAATTAAGTCACTAAACATTGAGTGCCCCGGAATGGTTACTGATTTATATAATTAATTTGACATCACTCACTTCCCCTGAACCCTTTCTTCTGATACTTTGGAGAATTCTACCTTTAATAGTACCTCATCTATGCTACTTTATAGGAAAAAATCCAACATAGGTCTTCCATAGCAGTGGTTGATGCAAAGAGGGCATTTTGTTGTGCACCACTGTCCTCACATCCTTCATGGCTCTCTTTATGCCACAAGTTAACATGCTTGTAAAGTGCTGAGGAATGACAGAAAGCAAGGCCGGAAGGGAGCTAACCCATCACTGTCTCCCAGCAGGATCAAGCATGCACATACCGTTCTTGGGAAATGACTTTCCAAGCAGCACTTACGAGCCTCTGTTCTGGAGGCTCCATGCTTCTGAAAGGCAATTTATTCTAGGGCCTCACTACTATACAAAGCGTATTTCTAAGCTTCATAGCTGCAAATTTAAACTTACTATTTCTTGTCCTATTCGCAATGATCAAGGAAAAGAGCCCCTCTATTCCTCTTTGTAACTACCTTTTATGTATTTAAAGATCATTATGTCTCTCCTCAATGGCTCTCTAGATTAAAAAGTTATTTCAGGCTTTACACATCTATCATTTTTTAGGTAATGGCTTGTCACATACCGATCATAAGAGTACACAAAAACCCAGTGTGAAACTATACGAGGGTAGGGTTGTACATTAACACATGCAAGAGGAGAAGGAATCAAAGGGCCAATGTCCCACTTAGGAAGCAGGAGAAGCAAAACAAGGGGAAACTGCCTGGTGGAGTTGCAGCAGTAAGGTTACATGTTGTTTCAATATTCCTTTTATTCCGTTCTGAATATAAAGGAGTAGGAGGACACAATATAATTAGAAATCATATATCCGACATGTGATGTGAAAGAAGATTTATTTCAACTTGTGAAAAAGGCTAGATTTATTTTCCTGTATTTTCCTTTAAATCTGTATAAGGATTCATGACATACTAAAAGAAGAGGGAAGCTAAGGCCAGGTCTCAGGTATATAGTACATGGAAAATGCAGAAGGACATAAAGAAAAATATTAGGAGTGGAATATGTGCTTGGGAGGGAAATAAGACTATAAAGCAAATGAATGTATAGACAAAGGCAATAGAGAAAAGTAGAGATTTCGCTAATTCTCACAAAGATATAATTGTATTTACACTAACATATTTTATCATACTTGTAAAGAAAGATTTGTTTCAAAAGGATAGGCTGTAGTTGTTGTATTTTCTCCCCCTTTACATTCATGTGGGTTTCTGCTCTTATCCGCAACAACACAATCTTTAAAGAGTGTGCTGATAAGTTATCAATATTGTAATATATCTTGTTTTGTGCTTTCTTTTTACAAGGAGGAATACCAAACAGCTAAGCTTTCTGTACTGGAGTGAATTTTAACAAAAGTGCTAGGGAAGGGCAGCTGAAGGACAAAGCAATAAAACAAAACCACCAAAAGAGGAAAGCAAGTCAACAATTGGTAATTTCAAGTTGAGAGCAAGCTATTTGGCACATAAGAAGGAACCATCAGATTATTAGAAGTAATTGTAGCAGTGGTAGTTTTGGAGATGTCAACATTTGTGCCATTTTCTTTTTAGAAAATGGAAAATGGCTTAAGTAAAATGCAGTCCCTGACAGAATGCAAGTATAGCATAATTTGCCCAAACCTTGAATTCCATCTTGGAAAACGCTTTTTACCATGCATTCAAAAGGCTGACTAATCCACATAATGTTCTATTCCTATTCCATTTTCTATTTATCTTTCCTCTTTTCACATTTCCATCCTTTCTATAATACCATTATCCTCTTTGAGAGAGAGGAGTGTCCCACGAGTGTTAGCATAAGGATCGGAGCTCACAAGGACGCTGCCAGCCCCCATACCCAGGAGTAAGAAGATCTCATTACATCGGACAGGGGACTTTGGTGCCTAGCCATCCCACAGCCCTGGAGCAGAGCTGTGGTCCCTGGGCAAAGGGATCTGTGGGCTTGAGCTGTATGAAGCCAAAGAAGTGACATCCCGCAGGAATGTCAGAAAGGAGGGAGCCAGAAGCAGGACTGTGTCAGTCTGAGGTAGGATGTGTGGCTCCTCAGGTGCTCCTCAAGATCACCTCAGCAGCGACCATCACCAAGAGGTCTCTGCACCTCGGCTTCTCCCAATGTCACCCAGCTCCAGGCTCCGTGTTGCTTGCCACTAGGAGCAACTGAAATAGCTTGTTACACAAAAGATTGGCCATCATCCCAACCACATTTAAATACTTAGTAGAGACCGCCACTTTTTTTGCTTAAGCTGCAGCTTTTCCTACAGTTGCCATTTCTTGAAGACTGAATTAGGCCTTTAAAAGCAATATCAGGAATAAAGGACACCATAATTCTAACACATTTGCAAGGATCTGCACAGATCATGCAAATCATTAAGTATGAAATAGTAGGTAAAATCTAATTATGAAGTAAATTTTAATTAAAAGCCTGTGAGAATAATTTGCAAAGTTCTCTGGAAACATTTCTCATTTTGACCTTTCATATCCTGTATCTCAGTTACTACTCGGTCAATTACAGCATAAACAACTGAATTGATTTCTTGCCTTTTAATTTAAATATCATACAATACGTGCAAGAGAATTTGAGCTTCAGTGAATACATTTCCAGATCATCATCAGGAAATAATTGGAAAATGTAACCATAAAAAATAGATTTTCTTTCCAAAAGAAGTCTGTATGAACATGAATAACATATACATATAATTCTATCTATCTGCAATATATTTAACACCCATAAAATATTTATAGCTTGTGTTCAAGATAATATTACTGTAATAATTACTTCAATATCCTATATGGGAAATGGTGTGATTCTAGCTCACAGCAGTGCAAAACAGACTGTAACCAGCTGTTATCATAGCTGACAAAGATTTATACCACTGTGAAAATAGCACAGCTAAAGGTAAGTAAATTCAGAAAAAAAAACAGATTTTATTCTTTCTTTTTAAGTAAATGGTGGTTTACCTCAGCTTAACCTCTAACTGAATAATGAAAGCTGGAAGTTTACAGCTTGCAGTTAATAGTTGATGGGGTTGCTCAGACCTTTACAAGTTAGTCTTAATTAAGCTTTTAATGAGTCTGATTCAGTTATACCAAAGTAAACCTCATGTATGTTCCCTAATTTCATTGGAAACCTCCTTAATTTACATTATTGCAGCTAATAACAGTACAGAGTTTGTGCTAACTTAAATCATCTTTATTTTGGTAATGTAGCACTTCTCTCCTTACATCACCCCAACACCAAGAGTTGCATTTCACTGCTGCTGAATCAAAAATGTATGCACAGAAGTTTAAAATCCTGCATAGTAGCACAGCTATACTCCCTGCAGGAAATACATTCACTAAATGTCATTTTTTTTTTAATTTGGAAAAATAAAAAAAAACGGTTTTGAAACAAATTCCCTAAACATGTAAGTGAAATATGAGTGAATAACCTTAACAGAGTTTAAAAAGTGGTATCTTGAGCTAAATGCAGTTTTGTACAAGCACAAAGCAGCAGTAATATTTTTATCCTGGATCACCAATATTGAATGCAAGTTACACACCAAAGTGAGCAGTCAGATCCTATTCCTCCTGACCTAAGCAGCCAAACTCTCTCTGGTTTCTATGAGAGGAAGATGGGGCTCTGCTCTTATTACTAGCACAGTCCTTCTCATACAAGCTGCAATGCCTGTTGCATCAAATGAAGACAGACTTGCACTTACAATGCAGCTTAAATAAACTGGTTCCATGTACATTAAACCACTCTGGGAGACAGACACCATTTTCTGGGAAGCGCCGATATGTTTGCTGTGTCTCTGTTTGAACTAGAATCTCATTAGAAAAACAGTAATCTTGCTGTACACTCACATAATAAGATAGGACATACAATGCAGGAATTTATCAAATCCCAAGGGTGATCATCTGCCTGAAATCCTTTTACAGATAAGCATGTTCACCCAAGGTAAAGAAAAGCTCTCAAGTAAGCTAAGCAGCAACAGTTATTACTGCTGGATAAATATTCACATTATTTTTCAACAGGCACTATACCCACTGGGCAAGAAACGTAACAGTATGGTAATGAAGGATTAGACAAGGACTGGATAAATCAGTCCTGTTACAGCTCTGTTAAGCTCTTGCGTGTGTATTATATGACATTACTATTTTATAGCATAGAACAAAAAGTTATTTCTTCCCTTTTTTCTTTGTAGCTGTGTTTAAAACAAGAGGAGGTGGGGAAGGGACTTTCAACCCTGGGATAACTTCAAGCATTAGGAAAAGAGTCGTAACCTATATATTCATATGAATCATGCCTAGAGCTCTTAATTACTGCTCTGCACACAGAACTCTGAATGAACACTGCATAGAAGCCAAGTAGTCCTAAAGATTATTAAATACACTAAATGCAGAGTATGAGTTCTGGCATTGTACTTCACAAGACCTGAGTAGATACATTTTGAGGAATTTGGCACAAGCCTTGTTTAAGTATCTGTTCACGTTGCTACTAAAAATACAATTGCTCTCAAAAAAAAAATCCAGTATTTTTGCTAGTAAAGCCTTTTGAAACATACCTGGTTTTGTTGCATGAAAGCAAAATTCCTGCAGTAAATTTCTGCTGATGTGGAGGGATTAGCCTGGTTCTCTGTTTGCCACCAGTGACGGTACCCTTAGGGGCACCCCGCTGCTGAAAGGCACTGCAAACAAACCACGAAGTCCCTAAACTTCCGTGGAGAATGCACCTTACCTAGGGAAAAGCTACCTCCATCAGCAGTCCTGGAGGGCTTTTTTTGAATCCTCCCTAATTAATCACTGCATTGACCAGAATTTTGAAAAGTTTACAGATGAATAATGCACAAGTTTTCACAGGGACTCCTTGGAGAGAAAAGGCAAAGCAAAATGTACAAATGCATCCCCAAGATGCTCCAAAGTTTCCTTCTAAAAAAAAAATGAAGTCAAAACATTTTAAGTATTTAAGGCATATCTATTTCTTAAATATTCCCTTTGTTTTCAGCCCTCTCTTCACTATTTAATAACAGTGTTTGCACATCTTAAATGCTTTGTTTTAATATCTCACTTCCTTTAAAGGGCTGATCTGCTGTGAGGTTTTAACGAGAGTCATTTCTCATGTTTTTATGCAGAATTATTATGCAGAGGAGAAAGTGATAATTCAGTCTTCTGTTAATTACACATCTAATAATTCTTAGAAATTTATTTATAATTGCATATGCTAGAAGGTTTTGTTTCAGTTATCATAGCCAGATGGAATATAGAGCTTAAATTAATTGCTTTCTGTAAACAACCATATTTTAAAACATCAAAAAAGCATATATGTATATCTATATTTGAGCATAATATATTAAAGCAGATGGTCATTCTTGAAAAACAAACATATTAGAAAACTATGTAAAATCTTTGTCCTTCGACAATAATTTTTTCTTAATTCTAGTACACATTCTCAGAGGACAGAAAAACTTAATTAAGAGAAAATTATTTACAGTCAAAGTGTCTTTGTTTTTCTAAATTATAATAATTACCTTAAAAGTCTTAAAATAGGAAGCTTCACCTCAAGAGGCTTAGCAGTGCCTTTACTTAAACAGAGTAAATGTTCTTTCAAGGGTGAAAGAGAAAGAATTATCCATTTTTGATGCTGCTACGTTCCCACTTGAGAGCTTAGGAAACCTCTTGTTTACACAGTATTTCTACAATGATGCAGGACTCGTGAAATGCAAGCTGCCCAGGGATTCAGTTTAGCAAACTGCGTTTCCAGGGGAAGGCTGTTTGACCAAAATCATTTTGAGGAAGTTAATTTTAAACACATTATGCCTAACATGGAATAACACTGTTTTAACCACAGTAATTAATCTAGAAGAAATTATATGATTGCAGAAACAGATTTAGAACAGATTTACTTTAATAAGTACAGATAACTGATGTGTAAGCCCTCTTCCAATAATATGTAAGCATATATAATATTTGCCTATACTAGAGATCACTTTAATAAGGAAAGATTGCCAGGTCTTGGCTAAAGAAAGCAATAACATTGCCATGGAAATTTTTTAGTGGATTTATAACCTGGCAGAAAATGACAGCATGCAAATGCTTTTACTATTGCATCTTCATTATTTCAGAAATGCAGTTTGCCTTTGTATCTAGCACATTTTCCTTCACCACCAGCCCCCTGCGAGCCCTACTCCCCAGCCAAAAAGAAAGCTAGAAGAGAAGCCTGTAAGACTTACCTGCTTGACTTGGAGGAGATGAAGAAGTTTAAAGCACCAAAGTCCTTGTGATAATCAGCCACTAGAATTTAGCTTACGTGGAAATAATTGCACTCTGCCATCTTTCAGCTTCCTCAGTAGGTGAAAGCTAGTGACAGATGCCAGCAGCCTTGTTAAAATATCACTGTAATCCGTTCAAGCTTTGGAGATTGCTTAGAAAACCACGTCCATAAACGTGCACTGGCTACAGCTTCTCAAGCAGCTCAGCGTTTTCCGAGGGTGCACACAGCTTCCTTTCGTGATTCGATACAGATCATCCTACCTTTCTTGATTTCAGGGATGAGAATAAGCTGTGAAAAGTAAATTCTATAGGAACAAAAGTGCTTTTACAGGTTTAAGCTTTCGTACATCAAAGTTACCATTAGGAAAGGAGACAGTCTCAAATTTTTTTGATCGTGGCTTTTTCCTATTAAAGGAAAGCTTCAAATACAGGAGCAGGCAGCAAAGAAGATATAACAGTTCAAGAAGCAGCAGGCAAGGATGGGTGTCTTGTGATTGCTTTGAGTTAATACTCCTCAGGGGGAGATGAAAAAAGCACAAATACAGCAAAATCTGTCTTACAGAGTAAAAATCTGTTGTATAAGCCAAACTCTGCCAAAGAAAAAAAGCACAAATTAATTTCTCTCCTAATTTCTAGCATGACAGAATGCAAAGGAAATTAGAAGCTTTGTGTTTATTAGAAACAAACAGGTAGGAGGTTGAAAAGAAATTTCAGTTTATGTAACTGCTGAAATTGTTTCTGCTCCCTTCAGATATGTATGAGAAAGCTCCAAATTCTTTCAGAGCTGTGCATGTGAAAGCAGCATTTATCAGGACCACAGAACATATAATTTCCAGAATTATCTGGAGTATATGTGGAAGAAGAACATTTAATAATGCTGAATCCTTTCGATACAACTTTTGTGAATGCTTATTCTTTAGCCTAAACACACCAGGTCTTTTGGGATTCCTGGAAAATATGACTACAAGGGATATTACAAGAATTGTAAGTGCTGAGCACTTTTGAATAGCTGCTGACCCAATTATTAGCACAGAATAATGGAAAATTCAGCCTGAAAGAGTCCGATTCAAATGCCATTGAAGCCCAGGAAAATTGCTTTTGAGAGACTATGGATGAGGTCTTTCAGCAGCTGGATCCTGCATCCATGGTCATCACTACACAGGTCACAAAGTCACCACAATCATCTTGGAAGGAGCTGGTTGAAATCCTGCTCTGATCCAGAAGTCATATGGACATCACAGCAAAGCTGAGTCTCAAGTTGCCCAATATATGCAATACAGGCATAAATCTCTTCTCTTCAGGATTGAAGAAGTTGCATTTATTTGTATTATGAGTCCAGTCATGGACAAAACCCCACTGAGCAAGGTGCTATTCAAGCATAAAATGAAGAAGCTGCTCAATTTCAGGAATTTACAGTCCAGTTGCCACCTTTCATACTATCCACCCATACTCCGCTCCTGCTAAGCCACCAAATCTTGCAGAATCCCATTTTCTTGAATTTAAATATTCTTTCTAGCTATTAACCCTGCCATATTTTATTTTGTTTTGCCACAGAAGAGCTCGGTCCAGCCCTTCCAGATCAGAAAAAAAACACTACGTTCTGACAAAATAAAATAAGCATTAACCACAAATGCTTAATCACAGTTGTGACAGACGCAGGCCCCCACACACATCTGCATGGTACACTGAAAATACAAAACAAGAGGGGAGAAAAACATGACTACATCTCGTGTCTGAGTTCTAAGAAACTGCATACTGATCCAGCAAATCCCATATCCTCACCTTGGAAGAAAGTAATGGAGAGGTGAAATGGCTTCAAACTGAAGCATCGGAAGTTCCACAGGAACTTAAGGAAGCATTTCTTCACTGTGAGGGTGACAAAGCACTGGCACAGGCTGCCCAGAGAGGTTGTGGAGTCTCCTTCTTTGGAGATCTTTAAAACCCGCTTGGATGCAGCCCTGTGCCACGTGCTCTAGGTGACCCTGCGTGAGCAGGGGGGTTGGACTCGATGACCTCTGAGGTCCTTTCCAACCTTGGCCATGATTCTGTGATTCTAGGTCAGGATTTTGCCTGAAAAAACTATAGCTCTAGGTTAAGTTTGCAAGACCCTTTCTTTGCCATATTTACAGTTCCACATTTTGCTGCAATCCAAGTATCCTAAGCTTGTGGGTGCCTGCAAAACTGCCTGCCCTTTGAAAATGCTTTGGCTGCTGTTATTCAGGCAGAGGAAGCATCCTGTTCAGGAGCAAATTTACCTCTATGTCCTGAGGCTCTCGGTATGCTGCCTCGCTATGTCCTATGTCCTCGCTATGTCCTCGGTATGTCCTCGCTAACTCTGATAACCAGGTGGAAGGAAAGTAGCCTTGCTGAGGGCTCAGCAAACCCACCGCCCCTGGAAAAGCCTCTACTAGGACAATTCTGCAAGTACTATGGAGGAAATCCCAGCCTGCTGCTGCCAGTGCAGCAGCTTTCAGGGGCATCCAGAGTTGTATCAGTTCCAACAGACCTATGCAGGTTCTTAAGAAAAGATGTTTCTGCCTTGTGGCTCAAAGCTTTGGCTGGGTGTCCACTCCTTTCTGGAGTCTTCCCATGGCCCTGGTCCCTCCTTGTTGGCTCTCCTTCCCCTCGGAGCCTTCCAAACCTGAGGGCAGCCACCTGCACAAGGCTGCTCTCCAGCCAGGCCTTTCACAGAGCAGCACATCCAATATCCCTGCAGTAAAAAAGCAGCTAAAACACTCATACCATCTATCACAACACAAGTAAGCAAAAAGCAGCGCTGCCACCCAGAATAAAACCAGCCTTTGACTCAGCGCCTCCATGAGATCTGGACGTTAACAAGCCCACCGAGCTGCTGTAAACTCATGCCATGGATGAAGAGTTGTCCCCAGCATTGTAACCACAACAGATCTGTAGTGTTATATGGCAGAATCCTCCATGCCACCCTCCCAGTCACCTCAAGTTTGACTTTTAAGTATACTGGGTCAGAGATTCTGTGTTTCGGGACACCTAAGCATTTTGGGTTCCTGTGCTGAGCAAACTTTGCAGGAGTCTGATGCTGAATGTCCAGATACCCTTTAAATGGAAAAACGGAGATCCACGTATCTTTAGCTGCTTGCAAAAATAGAGGTCAGCTATCAAGGAACTTGATACTATATTGCTAAGCATCAGGAGCTTCCATGTTTTGGGAATACATAATGGATCTGCCCCTGAAATCATTTCAAATATCTGAATTAGTCCTCTCCTGTCAAGTCGAATAATCCTTCAGTAAAAATACTAGCCTAATAACATCATGAATATGCTGCAAAACACTTCCAATATTCACAGATGCATTTTAGAAATAGAGGTCATGTGTGCCTATCCCAAAGCTATGATATTAATAACACTAGAGGACCTAGAGTTTTCCTTGAGAAGATGTGTCATTTCCAATACTGACTGTAAAAAATGGAAACCGTTCCAAGGGTTCTTTTTGCAAAGGAAGATGAGACTACTCTTGTAGAGCACTTCCAGATCCCATACTACAAATCTCGGAGATTCTATGAGTCCCAGAACTCTGAATATCTTCAGCTCCCTTGAAAGTCAGCAGAAACTGAGTGAGGGTATGGGCCCCTCAAAGAGCTGGGCTCCTAGCAAGCACGGTGCTCTACAGTGCCATTTAGTGCCATACTATTCTAGCATGAAAATGCCTTTCATTCATTTTAAACATTAGATGCATCTCCCTGAGCATAAGAGACCTCCAAATATATATATTTTTTTCCTTTTGTTGTCCTAAAAAATCTCAGGCAAAGCAATTTTGTCTGTGTACCTTAGCCAGTTGTTTATATTAAACACTATATTATGACCAATTTCTTCAGTGAAGTTTAATCAAATGGCAAAATAGTCACTAGATCAAAAAGAAAATGCTAGGAAACATAACAACTACTGAAAGTTATGGGTGTGCTACATGCAGAGCCTTACAGAAGGAAAGGATATACATGGAACAGAGGGAAACCAGTGTTCACTCCTGTTTATCTTAATGATTAGGCTATCTTTATTTTTAACAGGAAAGTAAACTTTTTTTCATATCCAGAATAAATTTACTTGTCCTTGAATCAAGGAAGTTGAGTGAGCTTTATTATGCAGTTATGGTTCAAGTTATGCTATATTTTAAAGAAACTGTTCGAGATCACTTCTAAGAACAGCCAGGAATTTAAATGGTGTTTGGTTTTGATTAAGTCCGACTTTCTGCTAAAATACTACCTCTAGTTCAGATAGAAAATTAAGTACTGACACTATGAAGCTGGACTTGTTGCTATAGGACTATTTTAACATAGTCTCCTGGAGACCAAGACAAATTGTGTTCCCCGCAAAAGAGTAGAACATGTATGCAAACACATCTAAGACATGCCAATGCATTTGAAAACATGAATTTAAACAAACAACTTGTTATTTATCATTCTTTTCTCGCAGCGTGCCAGTGGCCTAATATCTAAGCCAAGCACGAGAAAGATGCATTTTTTTTCGTTGTGACCACAGATGAAGCTGTACTACACCACCTTCAGCCAAAGCAAAATATCTTTGATCCTTCACTTCAAGAGAAGGATGCAACAGACTTGTTGCAGCAGTTGGTCGTGTCATAAATGGGCAATACTATAATAAGCTGTAAAGATACTTCGATATAGTGCCCATTTTTCTTTGGAGTTTTATGAACTGCATGTGGTCCAAGTATGTATCACATTCAGTAGTGAACTAGGTCAATATGTTCTTGAGAAACCTCACTTTGAAGCGATCAATCACCCCTTAGCTCCCTGAGGATAAAAGATGCGTTACAAAATGCAGAAAGACACAGAAAGAAGAAAGATGATCAAAGGCCAACTCAGGGATAAAAGTAGTGCTGGGAAGGCTATGAGCAAAGAAGAAACAGAAAAACTAGGACAAAAAAAAAAGAAAAAAAGAAAAAAAGAAAAGAAAAAAGAAAAAAAGAAAAGAGAAAAGAGAAAAAAAGAAAGAAAAGAAAAAGAAAAAAGAAAAAAAAAGAAAAAAGAGGGATCAGAACGAGGAGGGTGTGACAGCATTAAAACACAAGCAAGTGGATGATAGTGTGAAATCAGTGGCTGGGAATCTCTTATCTGGATATCTCATACTGATACATCCAGAAAAACTGCACAATGTGACCTGTGAAAATACAGGAAGTATCTAACCTATATTAGTATGGCTGGCTTTTCATGAATAAGTATCTTTGTCAAAGTCAATTTTAAAGATTGCATTTTGTTCTTACAGTCTTTTTTCCTATCCTTCTAGTCTAACATTTATCATTTTTCAATAACAGGAATTGCCATAACAAACACTGATTTTAGTTATCAAATGATGTGCTTAATACCATTAATTGAGGGGATATGTTGGAGTTTGAAGGGACACACCAAAAACAGCCAGTTCAACTCTGAAGGCTGAATAAATTGCAGAAATTAGCTCAATGTAGTGTACATAATATTACCCACAGGGAAGAGCACAAGAAACCATGACACCTGGTATTTCTCCCTCTGAAATCACCCAACTCAGAATACTCTGAACCAAGTCACTGTTGAAACACTCCCTCCGTGAAGCTGAAATACAG